CTTAAAATTGGAAAATCAGTGTTGCTATAATAAATCACAGCACAAGGGTTTTACTCAGGCATCAAATCTGAATGAGAAAAGCAGTCTGTGCAATCTTCCATCTTCAAAGAAAGCATTTAGCCCAACAGGGTGCTGGGACACAATAGCCATCTGTTTCTGCACATCACCAGAGTTCATCGAGGCTTTCCAATCAGACCCAGATTCGGCTTCCAAGTCCACACCTCAGTGGCTCTGTGATCCTGGGCAAGCGGCTTTGCTTCTCCATGTCTCCGTTTTCCTACACAGTAAAGAGCAAGAATTATCCTTGTCTCACAGGACAGCTTCAAGGACTGCATGGGGGCGGGGAGAAACATGTGCAAGTCCTGAGCACAGGGCCTGACACGTGATAATGTAAAAACTAACTGCCCTTCCACATTAGCCAGGATAGGCTGGAAGAGGCTGAGGTAATAATGAAGCCCTAAATCTTGGCAGCTAAGCTCTATTTCTCAGTCATATAAAGTCCACCTGTGAATCCAGGTGGTCTCCGAGGCAACTGTCTCCCATGAGGCAGCTCTGTGATCTGGGCCCCAACACAAGGCAGCACGCAGATCTTGCAAACAGCTTTTCTATGCTTCAGGCCACAGAGGTCAAACGTCACTCCAGCCCACTACCCATTGGCCAGAATTAGCCATGCGACTCCCACCTAACTGTACAGGGGCTCGGAACTGTGGGTGAGCAGATGAGATGTCCCGGGAGTGCTAGCCTCTGCCAGTCCTTCATTCCCTTTGGTCAGTCCACTTCACCTCTCTAAGCCTCAGTTTCCTCATCTGTAAAAAAGGGCTAGTACTTCCTGTCCTATCTTTCATGGGAGTGTTAGGGGGCAGATGTGATCATATAGTGAAAAACACTAAGTTAAAGTTAGAAGTGATTATATGTTTACTTCATGCTGTGCCAAAGCCATACCACATTCTTTGGTTAATAGGAAAAATGTACAACTTCAACACTCCTTAAATCTACGTTTTTGTTCTTATTCCCCTGAACCCATTTCATCTCTGGATTGCCTACTCCCTCCTCTTGTTTGGGTCTTTTAAGTTACTTTTCAGTGAGATCATTAAGACCACTTCTCAGTAACCTTGCTGGCCTATTTTTGGAATCGCACACTAGGCAGCACATCCCGCACGGAAAAGGAGACCCTAAAGTGCCAAGAGGGATGACAGGGAGGCCGCCAGTGCATTTCTCAGCAGAGACAGCAGAGAAAACCCTCAGGGGCCTGCTTCACGTGACCTAGGGTTCCTTAGATCCCCTAGGAACACCAGACGTGTGTGTGTGTGTGTGTGTGTGTGTGTGTGTGTGTGTGTGTGTGTCGTGTGTGTGTGTGTGTGTGTGTGTGTGTGTGTGTGTGTGTGTGTGTGTGTGTGTGTGTGTGTGTGTCTGTGTCTGTGTCTGTTTCAAGCACCAGTAATCCCCTCACTGAGGACACTGACGGTGTGGACTGCCAAGCGCCATGCTGTGGCGTGGCTCACAGTAGCTGCTGCAGGCTCGGGGCCGCCCTGGGAGAGTGGGACCCCAGGCGTGGGGAGGAGACAAGTCTTACCCACTCAGACCCCACTGGAGACTTGTGTTCTCATCTGGACCCCAGACCCCAGACCCTCTGGAGACGGTGACAAGATGCAGGGTGGCCAGGATGAGCAAAGAATAAAAAACTGTGTCATGTAGAAAGGGTTGGTGCCAACCCAGCTAAGAGAAGGCTCAGAGGGGCTTTCCTGGAGCCAAGGGAGGAGTCATGACCGGCAGGGCCCTGGACGGCAGAGCCAGGACCAGCGGGAGCAGTCCTGGGGATACAGGTCTCAGCATAGGATTGGGAAGGAAGTTCAGGTCTTAGCCTGGCTTATCTAAAAGTGAACAGGCTTCCTCAGAGGGTAGGGAGTGTCCCATCCCCAGTGCAGAAAAGGTTGGATGAGTGCTTGGTGTGGACTGCACACTAAAGAAGTGAAGTGAAAGAAGACGCTTGGGTCTCCTTAAGCCCAAAAGTTGTGTGATTCTACAAACTTGGTGTGACCTCAGGAGACTTTTTTATTTATATATATATTTGTTGCTAATGGGTGTGTGTGAGATGAGTTGAGAGCAGCTTTCAGTTATGTGAATTGGAGTGTCATGTTCACCTTGGAAACTCCATCATTGGTGCAGAGGAGAAAGCACTGGCAGTGCAGAAACTGGCCCAGAAAACAAGCCCCTGCAGAGTGAGGAAGGGGTGTGCACTCTCTCCCGGCCCATTGCTGCCCAGGGATTCCAGCGCACAGCCAGCCATGGCAGCAGCACCAGTTACAACATCCTATTTTGGAACAGTCTTTGCAACACTGCACTTATGGGGCTCCCAATACGCTCGCCTCCTTGAAAGGCAACAGGCGAATGAAATGGATGCGTTGTTCTCAATTGTATTAGCATGGGGCGCGTGCACCTCGGCTTTGTAGTCTTTTTTATTACCATGCTCTTGCTCGATGCTCAGAACCCCCAAAGCAGGTGACCCCAGCATGTCTCAGAGGAGAACCTGGGGCTCAGACTGAGCGTGTGACAGCCCTGGGCCAGAACCCTCGCCCAGAGGCCAGGCAGGTGGCTGTCCATTACACCAGGGCACTGTGGGGTCCCCTGCTTCCTTTTCACCATGGGCAAACTGTAAAATCCGAGATGCAGAGGAGAACAGGGGGGAGCACTTGAGGCTCGTCCAAGCGCCACCTTCCTTTCTCCTTGGTGAGCTGAGACTCCCAGAACTAGCCAGAGTTTCAGGGAGAAGCACAAACAATGGAGGACCCTGGGCTAGGAGTCAGGACCCCGGGCTCAAGTGCTAGGTCCTTGGATTTCTTGCTGTGTGGCCTTGGGTGAGTTACAGCCTATTCCTGGGCTCAGGGTTCTAAGCAAAATAGCAGCAAGTCTAATGGCCCTACTAAACTCCTCGCGTCGTTAGGCAGATCTAATGATACTGAAAACCGTAAAACTGAGTGCCAAGCACAGCAGCAGGGGAGTATAGTAGTTCTGTCCAGGATCCCAATGCTCCAGCTTCCTGATTTAGAGCATCTTCACACTCTAGTTCTGTCACCTCCCTATTCACACCAAGATGGCCTTGGACTTGAGAGCAGGGAGTCTCTGTGAACCACCAGCCAGGTCGTGCCCTGAGTTAGCAGCAGACTGCCGTGAGAGGGTGATGAGAGATACCACGTGGGCATGGCTAGGCGGGGCTGAACAGCGCCAGCTTAGCTGCCTCGAGGTCTGGGCTGGGAGGGCTGCGGGCTGGGCAGGGGACGTGCCACCCCGGCCAAGGACTGAGCTGGGCAGCTTGGGCAGGGCCCCCTGAGAGCTCCTCTTATGTATGGGGCCACAGATCTCATCCCAGGCCAGGGACAGTTGCCCCCACGTGGAGGCCCTTTGGCCTGGGAGTGCTGGCCTAGAGCAGGATGCGGGGAGTGGGCTTCAGCAGGTATTCCCAGGCCAGGCTGCAGGTTCCAGGAAGGTGCTGCCCTGACCTGGCTCAGGGCTGTGACCAAGTCTAGCTTAGGGCAGGGCTTCCCCTCCTTTTCACATCATGGCGCTCACAGGAAGCAATGTTCTCAAGCATGAGGGTGACCACAGAAGCTGATTGTGGCTGGAGGTGCCTGGCCCCAGCCCTGTGCCCCAGGCAGAGGAAAGCACACCATCCTGGGACATTTGTAACCCGCTGCTGGCACACCAGTGACCAGGGCATCTTTTTGGGTAGTTCTGGATTTATGGTCTAAAGCAAAAGTTTGGGAAGTCCCAGCTGTCACTGAATGCCTGTGTAACCTTGAGCCTGTGGCTCAGCTGCTCCGAGCCTCATTCAGCATCCCCTAAAATGGGGGTCATACTAGACCTCAATCCTGTGTGATTGTTTAGAGGAAATGGGACAGGGTACCCAACACGCTTAGCGCAGAATGTGGCACACAGTGAGCAGTCAGCACGTGCAGGGCGGCAGAGGAAGCACATGTGGTAAAGGGGTGGGGGAGGTAGAGGAGAGGAAAAATTCCCACATAGGTGTCTCCAGCACGAGGCCACAGTCCTCCCCAAAGAGAGAGGCAGGAAGCACAGGGGGCCTCGGAGGGGAGGACTCCGGGTGAGAGGACCTAGAAAGATTGCAAAGATGGAGGAAGGGGTGAAGGAAGGGCATCCCAGGACAAGGAAAAGGCTGAGTAAAGGACCCGGAGGGAGATTATGGGGCTGGGCCGTGGGTGAGTTTGGGTCATGGGATGCAGGGCTGGTCAGATATGCGGAATCTGATCACAGAGGGTCACGAAGCCCGGTTTGTGGGTCTGAGTGACTTTCCTACGGTTTGAGAAGCTGTTGAGGGTCTCTGAGTGTGGTATCATAGCCTTTATGTAGAAGATTGCTCCGGAGCAGCATGGAGGAGGAGCTGGGGCGGGAAGGAGATGAGTGAGGGCAAAGGGCATGAGAGGTAGCGAGGTCCTGGAAGGCAGCCCAGGTTCCGGCGTGACCTGGGTGGACGTGAGGCAGGTCTCTGAGTTAGCAAACCCGGGAGGGATGGAAGGTTTAAGGGAGAAAGTAATGAGTTCTGACTGAGAAATGTTAAGTTGGAGGGGTCGGAGGGCAAAGAATCAAAGAACCGGGAGAGGGCAGGGCTGGAAGTGAGAGCATGATTCCTTCAGGTGGCCTCCGGGAGCAGAGGACTAAACGGGGTCCCCTGCCTTTGGCCACTAGGAGGTCGTGGAGTCCACGGGGAGCACTGCAGTGGCTTGGGGGTGAGTGTTGGGAGGTAAAGAATGTAGGTGGAGGTACAGGCACCCTTTTCAGAAAGCTCCACTGACAGGCAAGAGAAAGGGGCCAAATCGCTTGAGAAACAGGAAGCAGGAAGGAGCCTTCGACCAGGCTGGGGCCCAGCGGGGGCGGCGGAGTAACTAGGCAGGAGAGCAGGGGTCAGGGAGCAGAGATGGGGTCAGGGGTTTCTTCCTCAGTCATTTTCCTGTTAGTGCTCAAACCCAGTGGCTGTTGACTCGTTCAACTCTTGTTCTCGTTTATTCTCAGGACTTAATTTCCAGCATCTCAGAGTCTTACTGTACCATGTCTGTGTCTGAGGGACACAAGTCTCTCTTCTCTTCTGTTCTCTCCTGTCTGCTCTCCTTCCATTGTTCTACTCACTCCCCCCACCCCCACCCCTACCCTGACGGGCAGAGGCCCGGACACCCAGGTTGGTCCCAGGACCGCGGGAAGAAAGCCAGGTTCTGCTGTCAGGGTGGTGGGCACCCTGGTCCTGCTGAGGGCGGGTGCAGCCGGACTCCAGGCAGCCTACCAGGGGCCTGTGCTTCCCGTTGGGTGTGGCCACCCCAGGCTCACCAGATGTCAGCACTCAGAGGGGAAGGAGCTTGCTTGCCCAGGCTTGGCCCACAGACGTTTCCAATCAATAACCCTGCTTCTCCAAAAATCAGGTGATCATATGAATAGTTAACCCGTATTTCCACATATCCCAGTGTCAGCTGGGCCCTTGTGGGCCGTGAGATACCGGAAGTACTGCCTCAACCCCCAAGGTGGGGAGGACATCCCGAGCCTGCTAGGAATTTCCTCCCGCTCCCAGCCTTCCTCATGGGCACAGTGCAGCTCCTGGTTCACGGATACCATCTCTCTTCCACCCCACATCACCCCGGGACAAGTCCCAGTCCTTTTGCCAGGGTCACCCCCTTCCCCTCTCACCTATCAAACATGTCCTGAATTTTTGTAGAACTTTCTGAAGGTGCAGAAGTCTGTGGGGAAGGAGCATGTGGCCCAGCCAGCTTCCGTCCTGCTGCTCTCTGCTCTCTCTCTGGAGCAGACAGTCTCCCCACCAGCTCCCAGGGTGGGTTTGGCCTCCTCTGTACACGTGGTGCCAGTGGCAACTACCTTCCGAGAGCTGGCACTTTCCACCAAGTCGTGGCTCCCGAGAAGGGAATTCTCATCCAGTTGCTAAAACAGCAGCAGTTTCTCCAACACTGAGGTAGAGTTGTCCTCACCCACATCAGCTGCTTTCAGTCACCACTTCACTCTCTCGAGTTCTTTAACTAACTTGAGAACAGTAGCCACACTCACTTCAAAAATGTCCTTAGAGTTAGAAGCCCTTCCAAGCATTCACTTGACTCTGGAACCAGGACGAGCCGTGTGGACAGGCAGCCCAGACGCAGGATGGTGGCAGGAACCCAGCTCGTGAGCGGTGACGTGCACACAGACAGGCCCTGTGCTGCCAGGTGTCTCATTTCCAGAAGAAGCCAGAAATCTGGGTGTTCGTGTGAAATCACTGAGTCAGTTTAAATACTGACTATGAAGTCTAAAAATTTTAAGCACCATTAGGTGAAGTAAAACACATCTGTGGCCCGCACAATGCCTGAGGCGCAGGAGTTTCTCTCTGCTCTAGAGCCGCAGGAAGACTTCCCATCCTGGTGCCCAGCCACTCCCTGGTGACTCTCTCAAGGACGTGTGGAGCCACCTCCCTGTCCCCAGTCGCTGGGTCATCATTCCGTCTGGGGAAGTGCATGTTCTGGCACTGGTCTCTCATTACCCAGCATGGTCAGGCTCACTGAAAAGTGCACAACGCGCCACCCTGGTGCCAGGAGGTCGCTGCAAACCACGAGGCTGACGCCTGGGACGCGGCAGTATCATCACCCGTTCACAGGCTGCCTCATGAAAGCCCGCCATGAACAAGCACCTCTTGGCTTCGGGTTCAGCAGCAATGCCTGTGAGCTCTTCCTGCTCCAGGCTTGCCCCAGAAGCCTCAGGCACAGGCGTGTGGAGAGTAGGGGTGCCCCTGAAGGCCTGCTTTCACAGGGAGGGGGACAGAGCCAGGCCACAGACGTTGAGATGTCCTCACCTGCTTTGCAGGAAAGAGGTCTGGCTTGGTTTTGCCTCGGACTTACGTCACCTTAAACAAGTCTCTCATCCTCTCTGAGCCTCAGTTTCCTCACTTGTAACGTGTGCAAAATTCCTGGCTCCTGGGGTCAGAATCAAAGAGAAATCCTAGTATGAATACATCTGTGAGCTGCAAAAGGCTAGAAATGTTAGGACCTATTACTGCACCTGTCAATCCTTAACTTCCCCAAGATGATCCTCACCCCAGCTATGACCCTTACATAGCCACAGAACTTCATTCTGGATTCCAAGGTCAAACTCAGGATGCCTCTCTGAACAGGACCAGGTGAGGGTCCCACTAGCCCACTGGCATCCTAATGCTCAACCAGGGCTCCTTGCCCTCCTCAGCCAGGTCCCAGCCACCTCCCCCACCTCCTCTCCCCTCCGCAAAGCATGGCTCCATAAGGATGTGGCCAGGGAGGTTAGGGCAAGTGGCTCTGGACCCATGACTGCTGCCCTAGACACTGCCCCAGGGACACCTAAGAAAGAGTGCACAGTCCAAAAGCCAGGGGTTGGCCTACAAGCCAGCTCCAGGGGGCTGACTTGGCCTTGCCTGGCACCTGTGAATGGTAAGTCCCAATAAATGTTGGCTGGTGAGCAGCCCACAAGGCTGGTTCCCCCTGTGCCAACCTACAGCATGGTCCAGTGCACAGGGCATGGGGCCAAGGTCAGAACACCTGCACCCGGGTCTCCATTTAGTCACTGCTTGCTGTGAGTCCTTTTCTGGGCCTCAGTTTCTCCATCTATAAAAAGAGGAATTGGACTAGGGCACGACCCCCTTAGTGTTTAGAAATGGGGAGCCAGGGGAGGGAGACTGGCTGACATGGTGACTAGAGGGTGTTCATGGCATCCAGGAGCCAGGGGTTCTGGGTGCCCTGCACTAGACAGGACAGCCCCTCACAACAAAGATTTACAGCCCCTCCAAAGAGAAGAATTGCCGGAAGTGGCCCTGGGGAGAAACCTTGGTGGGTGATCTCACAGGTCCCTTCAATCTGGGATTCTGAAAAAATTCACCCAGACTCATAATCAAACATTTCAAAAAAATTCTTACTTTGAAATGACAGCTTCGAGCTTTGTTGCCTCAGAGATGTGTGACTGCTGCTGTTGAGATAAGCGGCCCAGCCCCGGCGGGATCTGGAAGGCTCCTCCCGGCTCCAGCGCTCTGTGACTCTCTGCGGTTGGAGATAATGATGATGGTCTACACATAAGGAGTGGGCTTTCCAGTCTCAAAAGCCTGCTAAACACACCGGTTACCTCTTTTGATCATCTTGCCAACCCAGGGAGGTTGCAGATGAGGAAATCATGGCTCAGAAAGGCTTAGAGATACGTTCAAAGTCACACAGCTGGCAAGTGATGGACTTGGGATCTGACCCCCGTGGCCTTTCCCTCCCTGCCCAGGCTTCCTTGATGGGACAACCCCTGGCATCTCCCCCAAAAGAGGCAGTGTCAACTCACCTGCCTTCCCAGGAAAAGAGAAGCATCTCAAGACTGAAACTCAGCCCAGAAAGGTCAGACGTCCTCCCTCCTCCCACCACCACACACTTTCAAACTCACATTTATATACACACATATACTAACCTCCAGTAGGAAAACCTACCAATTTTACCACATATTTTAAAAATCAAGTTTGAAATTTAAAAAAGAGGCAGAAATGGCTCAGGAAGAAAGTTCCGAGAGCCCACTTCTGGGAGCTGGTCAGAAGGTGGAAGGCACCCACTCCTTCAAAGAAGTGCTGGCAGAGTCCTTGCCATTTCAGGTCCTGCCTGTGCACTGCTCCTGCTCCCAGGAATGCTCCCCCGCTAGGTTTTCACATGGCTGGTCTTCCCACTGTTCAGTTCAGGTCTCAGACTACATGTCACCACTTCAGAAGAGCTTTTCCCAGACTACCTGACCTGAAGCAGGTCCTCATAGCGCCTTGTCCTTCTCTTTAGGAACACCTATCACCCCTCTGCTCAGAGCTCCTGTCAACCTCCTGTACCCTCCACTGAAATGCATGCTCCAAGAAGGCAAGCATTGTGAGGTCTCAGAACTGGACCCCAGCATCGAGCCCGGCACACAGCAGGCACATGAGAAATACTGAGTTGATTCTGATGAGGGAACACAGGACAAATATAGTCATCCCCAGTTATTCACAATCACATTAGTTATCCTGTAAATTAACCCATGGGCTCATTTGCTGAGAAATGGGAAACTGAGGTCAAAAAAAGTGTGAGGACTTGCCCAAGGTCACCCAGCAAGTCTAGAGCAGGATCCAGGCCTTTGACCTTTCAGGCGTCGATGCCTCAAGCCAGGTCCATATCCTTGCCTGTCTGTTTTGTGCGGCCTGACAAAGCCGGATGTTTGCAGGGGCCACTGACCTACATTGTGAATAATTGCATCATGCAGAGGGACTCTCAGGCCAGCTGCTCTCCTTTTGCTGCACAGATGGGGGAGGCTTTCCCGGGCAGCGTCTGCAAGCCTCCCGCTGAGCGGCGGCTGGACCAGGAGTCAGGTGTGAGCCCTTGCAGCCTCCGGCCATCACAGACAGGCGTGGCTGCTCTGCTGGGCTCTGCGCCCTGTCAGGCAGAAAGAGCATTTTATCAGCTTGATTTCATGCAGCACCAAAGCACAGCCTTCACAGAGCTCCGGGGCTTCAGGGAGGCCTCTATCGAACGTTTAGCACTTAAGTCATTCCTCCCACGAGCAGCACCTCACAGTTTGTAGAACAGGTTTATACCCGCTGTCTCCTTGGCATGTGAAAGGCAGGGCAGGCTGGGGGATACACATGGTGAGGAAGGAACGAACGCTGGTTTGGGAGTCAGACAGACCTGGGTCTGAATCTCAGCTCTGACACGTACTGGTTGGAGATTAGGGCGTTACTTAACCTCTCTGCCTCAGTTTCCTCGTCTGTGAAGTGAGGTTAACGCCTTGTTGGATCCTTATAAAGCAGCGACAAGATAACGTGTGTAGAGCTCACAGCTTAGCAACTAGCACACTGTTGTCACTCGTGACAAGGCAGCTCTGGTGTTTTAGGGTGGCTCTTATTGGCTGAGGCCAGCCCACTCCCCCTTTGAGGTCACCTCTCATGGAACCATCCTGATCTTACTAGAATGGAAGACCCACGGGGACAGGGCCCTTGTCAGTCCTGGTTACTGTCACATTCCCCATTCCCGGAACAGTACCCAGCAAATGGTAGTGCCTGATAATTACGGTATGAATGAATGAATGAATGATGACTTAGGTAATGCCCAGGTGAGCAACAAGTAAGGAAGAAAAATAAAGAAGAGAAAAAAGCAAGCTGAAAGTTCTTGCAGACCAGTCATCCAAGGCAAGGGAAACATTCTTAGGCCAATGGAAATGCTGTAGCCCACACCGTACAGAGAAGTGGGCCTGAAATCCCGGCTCAGGCCCTGACATCAAATCCTAGCATGGCATCTGCAGGAGTCAGTGCCCTGTGCTCACTGGCACTGGGCGACGTGGCTGGCCCACACTGGGAACAGGGAGTGTGATGGCCAGTCCTTCCTTCCTCAGTAGCCCCCATTCACCCACTGCCCAAAAAGCAGGATGAGGCAGGTCTTCCAAGGTGCCTGGAGGTCTGGCCTAATTTAAGGCCAATGAGTGCCTTCTAGAGAAAAGGATGCTGCTGCTGATGGCTTCGCCACTTGCAGCCCCACTGAGCTCCACAAGCAGCTCTGCGTCCCCAGGAGAGGGTGAGCCACGGCTGCTGGGCGGAACCCTCCACATGGTTCTTTGCTGCCCTCTAGCGGCGCTTTGGTGCACGACAACGAGGTCAAGTAAGCACTCAGGTAATGGCCCAGGTTCCCCACCATGTCCTGTTGCATGGTCAGGCATCTCTCTTCATGTGTGTGATTGCTCCCAGCACTCTGAACTCCAGTCCCAGGCATGATCAGGACAGATCATACAGGAAGAGGCATGGCTCTTACAGTTTGAAATTCAATGCAGGGCTGATTTGACTTTATTCAGATTCCCCATCCCCTACTCCTAAAACCACCCCCAACCACTGCCACTCTGGCCAGCGTGCACAAACCTGGGGCTGTGTGAGAGTGATGCTGACGACCAGGATATTTTTTTTGGCTTACTTCCAGATCAGTGCCTGTGTACTGGGGAGATGAAGTAGAAGCATCTCTGCCCACCCTTGGGACCACTGACTTCTCTGAGCTCTGGGCAAGCCCGTGGTTTTTTGCTGCCCTCTCACCTCCGCAGGAAAGGCTGTGCTTAAGTTTAATGAGATGGGTCGGGGACTGAAAGACCAGATTAAAAATCAGGATTTGAAGAGGTTAGAGCAGACCAGGATTGGGGTGGGGGGTGGAGAGGAGGGGGCACTAACAAGGTAAAAGGTAACCAGGCTGGAGTGCCAACCACAGAAAGGGGAAGACAGAGCTACCAGCAGTTCCGTGAAAACTACCTGTGGGGTCCTAGTCAACCGCAAGGAACTTATGAATCACCAGTGGAAGGTAGTTATTCAGAGCACCAGGGAGAGCTGGAGAAAGGTGCTTAGCACTACCTGAAGTGTTGAGCTCAAATCTAGGTTTGCAGGACCAGGTCTACTTGTTGGGGGAGGTGATGCATCCTGGCAGATCTTCCCCTCCTGTGGAAAAAGAGTTTGGTATCTTTCTGGGGAGCCCTGGGAGAAAGACAAGGACCGAAGGTGGAAGTACAGGAGGAGAAGGTTCTGGTTCAATTGAAAAAAAAATTCACCAAGAGTGGGAGGGAGGGCACTCTCTGTCACTGGGGGCAAATACGCCAGGCAACCACTGTCAGCTTCCCATGAACAGAGTTTTCATTACATCGAAAAATGGGTATGACAGAATCACTCCTCTCTACATGGAGGATCTAAGAGTTCATCATAAATTACTGCCTTTCCTGGTAGAACAGACACTGTCATCATTAATGGCCCTGCTGTTCATGCATGCCCGCAGCGGGCCTGTGCTACTGCGTTCTGAGTCTGCTTCGCTGTCAGACATTGGAGAAAACCAAGTTATGCCACTAAGTCACTGCTGACCTCGGGTCCAAGTTCTTCCTCAGTCTCCTCAATTAAATTAAATTAGGGTATCAGGAATCCCCTACCACCCTTAGAATCCAGCCACTTCCTGGGGGAGTAGCAGTGGTTGGGAAATCTCTAGCCCTGGCAACTCTGACTGTGGTTCCTGCGGATCACCTTTCCCTAGGTGTCTCTCACTAGCACCCACTGCCACCACTGAGGAGGCCGCAGGGGACCCTGCTCTCCCTCTAGCACTGCCGCGGGTGTGTGCACTCAACGACCATGGACCCAAAGGAGCTAAGCTAAAGCTTTCTGTGGCTTGGGACAGCAAAAGGGAAATCAAGCCTGAGAGAGCATGCAACTGTGATCTAGTCACCAAATGGCCTGAGCCCTCAGGCCCCACCCCTCCCAGCTCCTCCTGCATCCATGTCAGGACACTATCTTCCTCAACTCACAGGAGCCCAGCCACTTGCCTGCCTCAAAGGCCAAGCCTAGTGAGCAGGGCCAAGACAAATAGGGTGTCCATCCTGCACCTGCCTGAAGTCTGCCTTCTGCATCCCTGGATCCCACCAAAGTGCCCCTTCTTTCTAGTGACTGACCCTGAGAATGCCTACCCCTTACCCTCAGGAATGTGGCTTTACCCTCGGCCTTAAGAGGACAACATCCAGAACACAGTTATTTTTTTTGTTCTTTTTTTTATTAATAGATTTTATTTTTTTAGAGCAGTTTCAGGTTCACAGCAGAATTGAGCAGAAAAGACAGAGAGTTCACACATATCCCTCCCCACCCATCCATATCTTTGATGAGATACCCTCAGTGGGATCAGTTCTAAAGACAAACAGATTTGCAAGGAAATCTTCAACTTTAGTAAATTTGTTGTTGCTGGTGTATGGATATAGCAATTTTGAAACTGTTTTGTGTCTATTATAGAATTGAAAAAAATGAGTGAGTATTTTGATGTTGTTAGAAACTAGGGATTCACTATGGGAGAATACAGATGCAAATATGGAATGAGGGAAAACAAGGAAGAACTCTGTGATGTTGGATTTTATCTTGATCTATATCTATAGATAGATGATACAGACTGAATGATGATGGATAGATGGATAGGTAGATGGATAGATGGATAGACAGAGAGATAAAAGGGCCTCAAAGTAATGATACCCTAGGAATAGTGAGCACATCAAGT